TGGGTGGGTCAGCATTTATTGCCCTTCCCCAATGGTCACTGGCTGGGCCAGCATTTATTGCCCTTCCCCAATGGTTACTGGGAAAGTGGTGCTAAACTGCCTTCTTGAACCACTGTTGTCCGGTTGGTGTAGCTACACCCACAATGCTATTGGATAAGGAGCTCCAAAATGTCGATCCAGGGACAACAGAGGAACAGTTTCATGTCAGGATGGTAGGTGGAACTTGCAAGCAAAGTTGTTCTCATGCACCAGCTGCTCTTGTTCTTTTAGGCAGTTGTGCTTACAGATTTGGTAGCTCCAAGGAGGCTTGGTGAATTACTGTATCTTATAAATGGGACTTTGCATTGCTGGTGGAGGAAGTGCATATTCAAAGTGGTGAATGGGGTACCAGTCAAGTGAGCTGCTTTGTCCTAAATGGTGTCCAGCTTATTGAGAGTTGTTCAAATAGCACTCATCCAGGCAAATGGGGAGTATTGAGCTACACGCCTGACACGTGCCTTGTAGATGGTGGACAGGGTTGGGGAATATCAAGAAGTAAATACAATATTAGAATTAGGAGTAGGCCATTCAACAAGGTCATGGTTGATCATATTGTGACTTCTACTCCACATTTTTGCTGGCCAACATTGACTGTGACTCCTTCATTAGACAGGAATCTATCCACCTCCAATCTCTAGGAAAGTGTTCCAAAGACACAACCTTGGGAAAGAATTCCTCCTCATCTGTTTTAAATAGGAGAATCCGGATTTTTAAAACGTCTCATACTTCTGATCTCTCCCACAAAGGGAAAACATCTTTTCATCATTTATCCCATCAAGTGACAAGCATTGGAAGAAGCACCTCATATCCACCATTTAATAAGATCACAACCAACTGGATTATTCCCTCAGAGCCGCATTCCTGCCTAACCCTGATAACCTTTCACTGACCCTCTTATTTGCCAAGGATCTATCCAACTCTGCCATAAAAATATCCAAAGGCTCTGTTTCCATTGTCTTTACAGGAGGAAGGTTCCAAAGACTCATGACTTGGAGAAAGAATTTTGTCTCAGCTGTTTTAACTGAGTGACCCCTGATTTTTAAGCAATAACCCCTGGGTCTAGGTTCTCCCACAACAGGAATATCCTCCCCATTTCTACCTGTCAAGACCCCTCAGGATCTTCTTTGTTTCAATCAAGTCCCTCCTTACTCTTTTCTGAACTCCAGTGGATACTCCACTGGCCTGTCCAACCTCTCCTCATACAACAAGCCATCTGTTCCAGTTTCCTACCAAGCGAACCTTCTCAGAATGGTCTCTAAGAAAGGCTGTAAATCTGTTTAGGGAGACCAAAACACAGCACTCCAAATGTGATCTCACCAACATTCCATACACCTGTCGCAAAACATTCCTCCTTATATATATTCCATCTCCCTTCCACAAATGACACCTTCATCACTTGCTATACCTGCGTACTAAGCTTTTGCAATTAAATGTAGTAGTACACCCAGAACCCTCTGCACCTCAAATAATATGCTGTGTTTCTATTCTTCCTGCCATAGTGAACAAGTTTACATTTTCCCACTCTATCTGCCAATTTTTTGCCCACTCACTTTATCTATCTATGTCCCTTTACAAACTCTGTCTTCTTCACAATTTGCTTTCCAACCTGTGTGCCATCAGCAAAGTTAGCAACTATACTGTCATTGATTTAAATTGGAAACAATGCAGACCCAACACTGATCCCTGTCACATCCTGCAAACCCAAAATCAACCCATTTATGCTCAGTGTCTGTTTTTTTATTAGAGTAAGCCAATCCTCTATCCAAGAGATTGTGTTACCCCCCTCCACACCACAAAATCTTATTTGAGTAGCAACATCTGATGTGGCACCTTATCAAATGCTTCTGAAAATTCAAGTACAGTACATCTGCAGGATCCCCCATTTATTTACTTTGCTTGTTTGTTCAACAAAATCAAACACAATTTCTCTTTCACAAGATGTTGACTCCACCTGACTGCATTAAAGTTTTCTAAGTACCTTGTTATACCCTCTTTAAGAGCAGATCCTAGCATTTTCCCTAATGACACATTAGGCAAAATGACCTGTAATTTCCTACTTTCTGTCTCCCTCTTTACTTGTGTCATAGAATTCCCATTCTCTGACCTGCCTTGGTAGCTATACTGCATTTATATGGCTGGTCCAATGCAGTTTCCGGTAAGGATTTCAACGGCAACTTCCAGGACGGTGATATTTACAATTTCCTGCCATTTAAAACCTGATGCATCAGGTATGAGGTGAAATGTAATCATTTAAATTTTGAAACCCATTTCATCACAAATTCAAAATATCAAAGCATCTACTGTGCAAAAGGAAACTACAAACATGGTAAACTCAACTGGACTGCTGCTTACTTGCGACTGCTGGGATAGGGGGCTAGTCAGGTATTCAGGGGGAAGGTCAACTGGTGCTGAAGCTGTGGACTTGACCTCAGATTTCCTGGAAAAGGAACAAGAGAAAGGTCAACCTTTATTGGAACACAAACACCACTTCAATCTCTCAATGCAAGTGAGAACAAATTATGTGCTTCCTGGAGATCTGAAATGATAAGCATTCACGTACGGAAGCTTGGGAATCCAGACAACTACCTCACTGGAGCCTGCTAATGTTGGAATGCCTAGGTAAACACAATATAACACAAAAACACAATGGCCTACTTCACTAACACAAAAAGCTGTTGGGAAGTATAGACCAAGAGGTGCTGTTGGATTAAGTATTGGTAAGCATTTTATTTGTCAGTAGATCAGAAATCTCAGCTCACATATCAGACTCATGCTAGTATTTTGGAATTGTTGTAATTGAACATTAATGGTCAGGGGTCCAATGCTTCCTTCACGTGGTAACCATTAACTAGTGTGACCAGATCATTTGCTAGAACCTGAGGGGGAGACAGTACTCTTGCGGGCTGTGGCTTTGATGTAGCGCTCAGTGGGAAAAGAAAAACCATTTCAAATAGTTCCCATCACTTGCAACAACTGGACAAGAAATCAAGTTCTTGACAAACTTTGAGAATTGCCACTCTTTCTGCAGCTGGCTTGATGAAACGGAAGTCTGGTCTAGTTAGTTGCTGAATGTGCTTGCTAGGCACTTCTGCTCCATTAGCACATGGACCAGACAAGGTGAATGCCTCTATTGTGAGGAATAAGTCTGAAGCCTTGTTGGACAAGGAGTCATATCAAAGACTGTATTTTGACTTTTAAATATTCTCATAATGTCCTCAAGGGATGGTGGTAGCTGAATGGGAATAGGATAACCCTCAAACATTACAGCATTCAACAGAAACAAAAACAAAAGTTGCTGGAGAAGCTCAGCGGGTCTGGCAGCATCTGCGAAGAAACAATCAGAGTTAACGTTTCAGGTCCGGTGACCCTTCCTCTGTTCTGAGGTGCTGCCAGATCTGCTGAGCTTCTCCAGCAACTTCTGTTTTTGTTCCTGATTTATAGCATCTGCAGTTCTTTCGGTTTTTGTACAGTAATCAACAGCATGTCCACACCGGCTTCAGTTAAAACTTAATTTTAATTAATTCACAAAATTGTGGGCATCATTGGCAAGTTTATTGCCCAGATTATTCCTAATTACCTAGAGGGCAGTTGAGAGTCAAACACATAGCTGTGGATCTGCAGTCACATATAGGCCAGACCAGGCAAGGACAGTAGTTTCCTTCCCTAAAGGACATTACTGAACCAGATGGGTTTTTCCAACAATCGACAATCTTTCCTGGTCATCATGAGATTCTTATTTTACATTTGTTATTGATTTCAAATCCTAACATATGCCACAGTAGGATTCAAACCTGGCTCCCCAGAACATTATCTGGGTCTCTGCATTAATAATCTAGCAAAAATACCTCCAGGCCATCGTCTCCCCAAGATAAAAGTACCTAACTTGCACATTGTTGCCTGGTCAAGAGGGAACACTCCCCTGGATTTAACACAAGGTATTCATACATAGAACCCAGTAGCTTGGGTGATTGGTAGTGACAGAGTCACAAGAGTCTTGCCATCACAGCAACCCATTACATTACTGAATCTGGAAACCTGGTAATGTCTTTACCAGAGCAACAAAAGCTTGCACCCTTGCAGTCTGGGTTTACAGCCCTGCCACAACATTTAACTTGTGACAATACTGTCAGAGCAAGACCAGGAGGGAAAAGAAAACAGTTAAGGAAAACACTAGAGATCTTTCTGAAATGCTGGCGTGTGGATTGGATCTTCAATGGGAGCCTACTGAAATACTGGAAAAATTAACCAAAGAATATACAGATAATGCACACATTCACAGTGGATTAGTGAAGGCTCTCTGAAGGATTGCATCTCTGCCTGGATGTTTTATCACTTGAAGATGCAGTCAACATTACTTATCCTCTTAATATGGGTACTACCTACTTTAATCCAGATCATTCCAATGGTAGAGACATTTTTACATTTATTTTAACTTTCCTACCCTCTAGACCTCATGACTTCCCCAAACCAATGCCAAAGAGAGAGAGACTGGAAATTAGCACAGTGCCCACTCTAGTTCAGAATATGGAGTCACACAGCATGGAAACAGACGCTTCGGTTCAATTAGCCCATGACAACCATGTTCCCAAACCAAACTAGTCCCACTTGCCCGCGTTTGGCCCATATCCCTCCAAACCTGGATTTGAATGTTGTAACTGTATCCACTACTTCCCCAGCAGTTCATTCCACATACAAATCACCCGGTGTTAAATAGTTCCCCCTCCTGTCCTTTTTAAATCTTTCTCCTTTCACCTTAGAAATACGACCCCCCCACTAGTTTTGAGGTCTCTCACGCTAGGGGAAAGACCTTTGATAATCACCTTATCTATGTCCCTCAATTTTATAAAGCTCTATAAAGTCACCCCTCCACCTCATATGGTCTAGGAGAAAAAATCCCAGCTGTGGGTATTAATTCCACTTTGAATGGTTCCAATACAGGGGAACATATTTTACCGATATAAATAGTGTAATCTAATTTACTGCAATCTCCTTAAACTTTGATGTAAAACTATGCTGTCAACATTTAATAAGCAGTGTTAAAGTACATATCTATACCACTTCAAATCTTTACAATCTTGGTAATTAGACATATAATTTACTCAACAAGCAGCAAAACTATTTTATACAACACTGAAGTTACGAGGTAATAATATTGGTTTAATTATAATCTACCAATTCAATGAGAATAAAGTTTGGCGTACATGTTACTGGTGTCAAGGTCTTCCTTTCTGTGAAAAAAAAATTATACGTCACCATGGAGGTACATACACACCATTTTTGTTTTAAAACTTCAACAACCTGGACTGTTGCACTCAGCCTACAGAAATAAACATTAATGGCAGGCAGACTGCAGCTCCTCACAAACATGCCTTCACAGTTTAATTGGTCCATTTCAGATGTTGCCCTCTTCAACTACAGGGGTTCTTTTACAAATTGAATTAGTAAGTGGAATCCAGCAAAGGGCAAAAAACAATATGCTGGACTTCTGAAAAGGAGCAAAATGTCTGACATTTCATTTTCGTTTCAAATAAGCAAGACACCAGCTACGGAAATGGGCAAAACGATAGTTTTTAATGCAGACAGTGTAAAGTCAGCTACATACCTGCATTTGGACTCGCACATAAAACAAAATACATCTGAATTGTGTATTTAAAAAAGTGATTTCCAAAGATCTGGCATCAAAATACGCCAAGGCGAATAAAGAATGGTCAATTTTAAGATCATCTCTATCAGATGAAATGACATGAGCATGTGTTCTTTATTCACAAACCTCACCTCTTGTTTTTAATTTTTTGGTTAAGTTTTTTTAATCGACATTAACCATGGTAAATTATTGTATCAATATGTTGCCCAGTTTTGACATGTCAGCTGTCCCTGTTGAAGGTTTCAGGCATTCTGTGGCTCTGCAGAGCATGTATTGGAACATTCACTCCCATTATTTTTATTTATGTAGGACAGTGACAGTCACCAAAACTACTGACAATTTGCTAGTAAATTACTAAAAATACTAAATCAGGACAGCACAGTGATTAACACTCAGTCCAATAAACTAAGATTGGGCATAGGTTCCTGTCAGGTTTCCTTCAGTTTTACAGTTAGGACACAGCTGGAATTGTGCACGCAGCTCTGGTCACCGCACTATAAAGGTTGCACTAGACAGTATTCAGAAGAGATTAACCAGAACGTTGCGTGGGCTGGAGTATTTTGGCTGTAAAGAGAAATGGGCTAGGCTTGGGTCGTTTTCCTTACAGCAGGAAAGGCTGAAGGGGATCTAATGGAGGTGGAAAAATGGAGGAAAAAACTTTTGTCCTCAGTAGAGGGGTCAATAACTAGGGACATTTATTTAAGGTAAGGGACAGGAGGTTCAGAGGTGACGTGATGAAAATTTTTCTCTACCAGATGTTGGGGATAGCTGCAACTCACCGGCTGAAAGACTGGTCTAGTTACGAACCAACACAACATTTAATCAGTATTTGGATGAACACTTGAAATGCCACAGCATACAAGGATACAGGTTAAGTACCAGAAAATGGGATTAGAGCAGGTAGGTACTTAATGGTTTGCACAGGCATGATGGGCTGAAGAGCTTCTTTACGTGCTGTAAAACTCTATGATTATGACATAATTCTGAACTACATACAGCAGGGGAGGAAGGTCATGGCATTTCCAGTTAGAAGAAAGTAACAGAATAAAGAGTTGTGCCTGGTGATCCTTTTCATCTCCTGTTGATGAACTACAAGATACACTAAAATGGTATAGGACTGTCAAATGAGCTATACAATGATACCATATTATGGCAGAAGTGAATTGGTATTAAACTGTATTCAGGTAGTTTTATGTCAACCATGAATAACGAATGAAGTGTTTATGTACCTTCCTTTGTAACATTCAGGATTTGCAAGACTGCACCTCCATAAATCCATAAAAACATTTATTTGGATGCAACTTGCGAGTTGACTTTGGTCAGGTGCTGCACCCCATCCCACACCCTCAAACCCCAGAGGAAATGCCTTACCTTTGCTCAACATCATCCAGAGTCTAGGCAATAATAGAGAGGGGTAAAACAGGAGACTCTCAAGTGCACAGTGACACTTTTACAGACATCCGACTAGCTGTTGCTGCACAATAACCAGCTCTGAAGTCCTACAGATCAAGAGCAAAGTTACTAACTTGTTCAGCTGCTCAAAGCATGGCTCACAAACTCGGACTTCCTTCTCAATCCCAAATTTGGGGATGGTGGAGGACTTAGAGGAACACTTTCCACAGAAGATCTGGCCACATGCTCTGCAATGATGCTGGAGAACAGAATTAAAAGCAGAATGGTACTCAACAAACAAATCCAGGATATCTCAGTTTGAGATGATAGTTCTTTTATGCACACAATCTGGTTATTTATCTTGCTATTCACAAATTGGCTGTCATATTATCTTCCATTACAACATCGACTGAACTGCAAAGGTAATTTATTGGCTACAAAACAGTAGCAGTTAAGGATAGTAATAAATCAAGCTTCTTTTCATTTATACTAATATCTCTCTAGTAGTGCAGTTACTTAAAGGCTGTCAAAACCTTTTGGCTGCACAATCAAAGAGTTAGATGACATGATCTGCATGAAAAATAACTGGTCAATAATAAAACAACCTTATCCACATGAAAGAGCAAGTAATAACTTACTTTCCTGGTTACCACGCCAAACTGCACCCTACATCGATGACATTCTTCAGCATCTACCCAATCAGGAGCCTACAGGGAGACAAATAAAAAAACCTTCGCATCCTTTAGGCTTGAGGCAAGATTTTCTTGCATTGCATAAACTAGCAGCCATATTTCCTACAATGTAAATACAGCAAACTCTGTTTTAACCAGCACCCTCAATAAACTGGCAAATGTTATATACCTCAATTACCAGAAGTTTACTGTATTATCACAATCTCCAAGCAGTCAGTTCGGGTGCAAGTGAGAAGGCGCTCTGCCTGTTAAGTTTCATGTAAGGCAAAATAGCATTATTTAAGTGATTTACGCTGTAAATAAAGTATAACAGTGATGCGTATACCCCCTACATTACGTTTCTATGACTTGGTGTATGCTTTTACATTGATTACATGGACCTCTTGACCAATGGGAATATTTGATCAACCAGCACACTCCTGGTCCTATGGGTGCCGGTTCATAAAAGGTTTGCTGTGCTTCATTGATTCTAAGGCACTTTGGGATGTCCTGTGGTTACAAAAGAAATCCAATTTTCCTTTGTCCAGCGTGTAATTACTTCCCCCGCAACAGGAACTAGGTACGGGCATTATTAGTATAATATTCAGAGGAAATTAAATCCTGCACAAATCGCTGAAAAAAAAACTCTTCTCATAGCTTCACACAATTTTCTGCAATCAGAATATGGACTCATGAGGGAAGTTGTGGTGAATTCACCACAACATTAAAGTTTGATCGTAAAGATAACAATATTTAGAACAAGAAATTTTGTAATAAACCGAGCAATAAATCAGGTCTTTTCAAGTTCACAACAGGATGCACTATCCCATGTCTTTTAGTTTACACATTAAATAGATCCATATCGACTCCAAATGTAGGCAAGGCTGGTAATGATACCTCTTACCCTTTCAGAAAGGAACATAGCATCGCTCTCTTTGAACTCTGGGAAGACGTTCCCTGTAGTGGTTAAAAAAAAATCAGAATTAAAACAGAACATTATAACACAAGGCCTCTGTGTCATAATTAATTTATACATAATTAATATGTAGTACAGATGCAAACTTAAGGATTCTTCTGGTGCAGTGGTAGCAGCCCCAACTCTGAGCTAGGAGGGCTGGGTTCAAGTCTCACCCACCCTAGTGGTGTCATCTCTCTACAGTTTGATTAGAAAATATCTGCAAACCCACACTTAAGCAAAATAGAGAGCAGAGAAAAGTTGTAAACCAAAGCCAAAAGGAAAAGAAGCTCAAGTTTGGTTAAAAACAAAGTTATATTGATACCGAATAAATAGCTTGTTTTAAATCAAATATTGCAAAATATTTGATTTTAAAGCAGATATTTACCCTGATTGCTGTGATCAGTAGCCTTCCAGCAGAATTAGTCAAAGTAACTGAATTGTCTGTTAATCTAAAATGCTGTAATGCAGGTGAGGTGCACTTGCCCCGAGGATATTATAGCACAGCCTGAAAAAGTAAAAGGAGTAGTGCTCCTCCCTCATGGGTACAGAAAGAAGAAAAAGCAGGTTTACACAGAGGCAATTAAAACAAACACACATTATATAGAAACCCAAGAAGTCATGATAGAGCTTGAAGGTTGGGTAAGGCATCAAAAAGAGTAATCAGTCAGTCAGCAGGAAGCAAAGTACACATCCATCTCTGCATGTGGTGTTACAGTTTATATATTAATCATTCACAGGACATTAAATAAGAGTAAAAACAACAAAAGTTTAATCAAAATATAGAACACATGTATTCATCTTAAGCCCATCATCAGAGCAAACAGCTAGGAATCTGTTAATGAAACCCTCATTTGTGCCTTAGGTACCTCTAGACTTGACCATCTCCACAGACTCTTGGCTGGTCTCCCACATTCAACCCACTGTAAAGTGGAGGTCGCCCGAAACCATGCTGCTCATTACTGAACTCCCACAGAGTCCCATTCCCCCATCATTCCTGTGCTCTGAGCTCTGGTCATTGTCGTCAGGTTAAGATTATCATCTTGGCTTTCAAAAGGGTGACTTCCTCATTTTCTCCAGTCCCACAGTCCTCAGATACCTGCATTCTTCCGATTCTGGCCTCTTAAGCATCCCAATTTTAACCACCTTTAAACCAGTTGCCCAGCTCCTCAACTTTGCAATATCCTCCCTGCAGCTCTCCATTTCGCTCTTCTCAAAGTTCATCTCATTAACCTAACTTTTAATCATTGAACCTAATATGTCCCTTATGGGTCTGTATATTTTGCTTAATATTGATCACGAAGCACCTTGGAATGTTTTACTATGTTAAAGGTGCTTTACAGATACGATGGCTGTAATTAATTCATCCAATGATTTGTTTAAACGAAGTGTTCATTCTGGTTGCTCAAACATTAAGCAGTCTGCTAAGTGGGAGACACAAACATCAGGAACGCTCTGGGGCTCAATTCCTTGACCTTGCTGATTATTTTGATCTCAAATGGAATCAGTGAGCATACGTTTTCTGCACAGGGATAATGATGGAAGACAGACAATTTTAACTAAGAAGTCAGAGACTACTGGTGCTTTAAAATAGCTATTCCTGTTCCCATTCATTGAAACTGCATGGGGCAAGTGTGGGGGGAGGTGGAGAAGAGAATGGGAATGTCAGACAAGACCAACAGTTGGACTTCAACTATGATGTTTCCCACAGCCAAATAGCTACTGACCAATGACATCAAACTGAGTCATGAGAGAGAGTCATTGGAAACTGCACACACGTTTTCTTCAAAAATAAAGCTGTTCACAGAGTGAGCTCATTACTGGCCAGGCCAAAATGGACGGCACATCCGTATGTGCCTGTGAGAAGGTGAGAGGTACTGCAGTCCATGTGGTGTCGGTAGATATAGTGTTATGAAGGGAGTTCCAGGATTCTGACCCCAGTGACAGTGAAGGAACAACAATGTGCTGCTAGATCATAATGGGGAGTGGCTAATGGGTGGTGCTCCCATTCATTTATTGCTCTTGACCCCCTAGGTGGAAGAGGTCACAAGGTTAGAGGGTGCTATTGAAAGCCTGAACCATTATTTTCATACACAGAAACCCGGAAGTGAGGCAATCCGTCGCAACGGACCCCAGAGTTTAAAAGCTGTGTGTTTGGGGTTGGGGGAGGGGGTGGAAAAGGAGGTTGGTTGATGTTCCTGAGAAGCATGTTTTTCCATTCACCTGTGGCACATGGGTGTGGCTGGCTGGCCAGTACTTTTTATTGCTTCTACCTCTTTGTCCTCGAGAACTGCCTTCTTGAGCCACTGCAGTGGGTAAACCCACAACGCCCTTGGTGGGGGAATTCCAGGATTTTGACCCAGCAACAGTGAAGGAACAGAAACATATTTCCAAGTCAGGATGGTGGGTGACGTGGAGGGGAATGTGCAGGTGGTGGCGTTCCCATGTATCTGCTGCCCTGGTCCTTCTTGATGGAAGTGGTCATGGGCTTGGAAAGAGCTGCCCGAGGTTCTTTGGTGAGTTTCTGCAGTGCATCTTGTAGACAGTACACACAGTTGCTACAGAGCGTCGGTGGTGCAGCGAGTGGATGTGATGCCAATCAAGTGGGCAGCTCTGTCCTGGGATAGTATCAAGCTTCTTGAGTGTTGTTGGGCCTGCACCCATCCAAGCAAGTGGGGAGTATTCCATCACATTCCTGACTTATAGATGGCTTTGGGGAATCAGGAGGCAAGTTACTCGCCGCAGTATCCCTAGCCTCTGACCTGCTCTTGTAGCCACTGTGTTTATGCGATGAGCCCAAGTGAGTTTTGAGTCAATGGTAACCTCAAGGATGTTGAGGTTGATTGGCTCGCCAAGCTGGTTTGTTGTTCCGCAGACGTTTCGTTACCGTGCTTGGTAACATCCTCAGTGCAGCCTCTGATGAAGCGTCGGTGTGTTTTCCCGCCTGGCTTTTAAACTCTGGGGTCCATTGCGATGGATTGCCTCACTTCCGGGTTTCCTCCATAGTGGAACGTA